ATGGGGAGGTCCCCGAGGGGGTTTGTCAGGGGGACAGGTAGGGGGTAGGGTCCTAGGGGGGAAGTTGGGGGGGGTCTCAGTTGGGGACAAGGAGAAGGGAGGCTTAGATAGGGGGTGGGGTCCCGGGAGGGGGCAATCAGGGGAGAGGGAGCAGGGGGGTCGGATGGGTTGGGGTTTCTGTGGGGGGCAGTCAGAGGGAGCGGATGGGGGCAGGGTGAGGCTACCCTCCCTCCCTGTGGAGTGTCCTATTTTTTGAATGTGAAAATATGGAATCCCTACTCACAGTGCAGCTCTCCATTCAGGGTAGGCTGCAGCATGAGGTCTCAGCTTCCTCACTCCCTCCCCCTCTTTCCTGTTGGTAGTGGCCAAGGGAATGCTGGGAAATGTAGTTCTTTCCCTGCTCCAGGGCTGGCTCTATAGGCAGGGAGCTAACCAAGGAACTACAGCTCCCAGGGCCCCCTGTTGGTTCTCAGCTCCCATGCTGGATCCCTGCTGCCCCTACAAATGGGCTGCCCCAAGCAGGTGCTTGCTTTGCTGGTGCCTAGAGCCGCCCCTGCTACTATGGCATATAGGTAGCAGAGGCATGAGGGAGATGAGGTAGGACACTGTACTGCTTAGCCTAGCAGGGAGGGGCTAAGGAAGGATAGGAAAGACTCGCACTGAATTCAGTGGAAGTTGCTTTAAGCCCCATTAATGCCACTAACTTGGATTACTGAGGGTTGCTGAGGGGCCATTAAATGGCACATCAGACTGAAGGGGTTAATATTTCCTGGATTAGTCTAAAGGAAGTGATACTTATTTTTTTAAAAGCCTTGAAAGCTACTCTTCAGCATTGAAAAGATACATCTTATTTAAATGCTGCCTACAGGATAAATTCCAACCTCATGATTTACAAATTTTAGGGCAATGTGTATGCTTCTAAATGTAACAGAATGGAGCATTTTCTGAGCATCTGGAATCCAGAAAATAATTTCTTTAATTAAAAGCCTATAACAATTAATTAGGTAGCTTCCTCTTTTATAATTATGAATTTGTATTCCCCTGCAACATAGATAATGTAGGTATCTTTTTTCCTTTGTGTGTGTGTGTGTGTGTGTGTGTGTGTGTGTGTGTGAAATCAATAATATTTTACATTTTTCTTAAAATCCAGGAGCTAGAGGAAGATGAAGATAAGATTTAAAACATCTGTAAAAAACTTATAGCAGCTTTGTAAACCCTAGAGAGAACTGCAACCCTGTAACAAGTATTACCATCTGTTGTCTGTTTCTTTAATGAATTTATAAATTCTAGCGGTTTCTGATTATTTAGTAGTTAGTAATAAAGTATTACAAAATTTAATTGAAAAGCACTTGGATTTATATGTTCATTTAGGGCATTAATCTTTCAACATCTGAGAAGAAAGCAAAACAATACAATAGCCACACATTCATTTATGAGGATTACATGCAAATTAACTTATTTATATGCTCAATACACTGATCTGAATCTAAAGCCATTCCCACATCAGATGAAATAAGGGGCGTTTTCATGCCTTAAAGCTGATGCTAAACCGGAAGATGGGTCATTTAGTTGTATTTCCACTGGAGTTCTTCACCCTCCCTATTCCCCTGTGAAAGCAGAATGAGACATCTGCTTGGAAAGCTGCTAAGAAGTGGTCCCATGATAGGTAAAATTCATGCTGTAGTACATCGCTGATCAGATGAAAGTAAGGTAATGTGCTTTGGAAATCACTCTTGTCAAATAAAAACATGATTTTGACAAGAGATGGGATTAGCCTGGAGTGATCCACAGCTGTTTTAAACCAAGCTTTGATTAATCTAATGTTTATCAACAAGTATCATAAGGAAAGTTGTCCTAGTGACATAGCAGTAGACATAGCTATATGACTAAGGCCTCACTTCAGAAAAATACTGTTAAAAGCTAAATCGTACATTTAAATCTGTGCTAGTTCCAGGATACAGAAGGAATGAGACATCTGTTTGCAAGGAAAATTTCAGAGTGGCGGTGTAACCGGTACACCTTGATTAGAGGAAGGTGTCATGATTACAAGTGAGTGAAACTAAATGGTTTACTTTGTGAAAGTTTTGATTAAAAAACTGAAAAATATAGTGATGTCCATGAATTTTCTTGAACGCCAGTGTGTGAAAAAGGTAAATGTTATGCAAAATATACAGCAATAAAAGAAAGAATGGTTAGTAGAGGAGATCAACAAAACTGAGAGCATAGTTTATTGCACAGTGCATCTAAACAGTTAATGACAGTAATGGCAAAAGCAATAATTTATCAGGCTATATTGCATCAACAAAAAGACAAAAACCAACCTACTTTTAAAAAAAATTCAATATAGTTACTGTCTTAAATTAAATTAGGACACATTAAGTATATCTGCCTGCCCTTCACCCAGTTTTTAGTTGGTTAGTTTCTTGTAGGCAGCAAGAAAGAAGTGGATCTTGATGAAATTGAAGGAGGAGAAATATACTTTGTGTGTCAATTTTCCTGAGGCATTGAGTGTATCTGTACTCAATTTCATATGTTTTTTTAAGGTTTATGTTGGTTGGATATTCAATCTAGCAACCTTAACTCAGATCTAACAAAATATGTATCTGTGTGTATGTATAATATTTTAGATGGACTTAATAGGTTTGCTTAATTTTGATAGCTGCTTCATTTTGTGGTGCTTTGAGAATTCATTTGTAGGATGGGCATATTATTGCCTTGAATCCCAATCCTGGGTTGCTTGGTTTCTCTATGATTTATTGACATTGCTAGAACATTTTTTAGTTAGTGAATATGAAACAAGTCCGGTAAGTCTGTGAATGCAAGACAAAATTTCAGTGTGTTAATGAGAGACAAGCCACTGCTGTTGGAAAGGAGATATGTGTTTACTTGAGGAAGGAAGAAGAATAAAATGCTTTCCTGGCTGGATTCCTGTAGCCTCAACAAAGATGCCTACCTAATACAGTGCTTCTTGATTTTCTCTGACTTGGGGGAACATGGTGCTATGGTTGAATCCATATAATTGCTGGAAAATGGCACTTGTGCTAAACTGAGATGATTTTCTAGGAACATATTTAATTGCAACACATTTTCATTTATGCAGGGTTTAGTCACTGCACTTATTCATTAAACAACATACCTAGTTAACACAGGTAAATTGGTATTGGTGTCATAAATTTCATGGTGTAAGGCTCCTAGTTCACTTCAATTTGCTCCTGAGTCAGTCTTTAGTTAATAAATTCGTAGCATGACTTTTTAAAGAGCAATTCTGCATACGAGTAAATATCTCCCAGCACAATGTATTCCTAGGAACCTCTGATAACCAGGATGATGGTTCAGTTGGCATATTTGTCTCCACTGGAGAGTGCCAGTTATGATGACTCTATTGTACCACTGCTGTGCTTTGTTATGGGAGGGGGAACTTCTTTTAAAGAATAGCTAATAGTCTATACTCTCTAAAAACCTGATTTGCAGATTAGTTAATTTATACTTAGTTGCTGCTGAACTGACAGGAAACAAGTGACAACAAATTATAATATTCCCTACTTCTGCTCCCAATACTCCCTCCCCTCCCCGCATTTCCTGACCTTGCTGCTGTTTTTGTCAACTTTGGTTCTGTGCCTTCTGTCATGGTGTCCTTTCAGTGTTCATCTGCCAAGCACACACTGTTTCCTCCTTCAGATCTTCCTTTCAAAAAGTTGCACACATTGGAAAGTCAGATTTCCAAGTACAGAAGAAATGGGACATCCACGTGCCAGATCCAGGACCCATGTTTGTTAGGTATTCGGGCTGATAGTGCTTGACTTCCTGAAGGATTTACCATTGTCCTATATCTTACTTGTATTTAGGTTTGTGTTATTTATATTGTAATCTCTTTGGAGCAAGGAACATATTTTATCTAAGTTTGCAGAGACATGGATTTGCAGTACTGCACACATGTTTAGTAACAACAAATACAAAGTAAGAATTAACAGTACTGGTAGTAGAGTCCCTTCACAGGTTAGGCCATGAATTTCCATATAATATCTCAGACCCTAGATCTGGAAAATTATAAAGGTTCTTATAAGGGGGTCTGATAGACTTTTTGCACCTCCTACCAAAAGGCATAAAAATTTGTTAGGATCTAAATAATGTTACCATGTTATGGCAGATATGCCCAGTATCACTTGCTCTGTAAGTGACCCTTCAACCTTCTGCTCTCTTCAACCTCTTTGTGCATTCTTAGCTGTGCTTCTGGAGGTTTCAACATGCCACTTCAGCATCTCCTTCTTCTCCTCTAAATCAGTAGCTCACATGAAAACAAAAATAAAATATTTTGTATTTCTTTGAGTTGAGGATATATGACTTAATTATCTGTCAAGTTTGAAAAAGCATATGCACAAATTCCAGGACATCTCAGAGTGAAGAAGAAACTTAGGAAACTATTTCTCATAGGGAGACTTACAGCAGCCTTATTTTTGCATGATGCTTTTGAGTATACTGATGTGTTGGGTACTTTTTCAGTAGCCCACAGAGAAAAAAAAACAGCACACTCCAAGCAAGTTTGATTTGCAATAATTGATATAATTGCAATATAACTGAAAGGAAATTTCCTCGAAAATGAATGTTGTAAAGAGGAAGATCCTTAAATGTTTTGAGATCTAGGAAGTTGGCCATGGTCAGTTCAGATAAAAATCGCTGTTCTGTCGACTATTCAGAATGTTCTGAATTCGTGTTCTGTGCTTTGCTTTAGGATTTACATCTTGGATTCTGAAATGGTGCAAGAAATAAAATATAACTACCCAGCGTACAGGAAACACAGGTGCTTTTATTGGTGTTGTTACCACGTGAAACCTGGTTTTGCGCGCGCGTGCACACACACACACACACACACATACACTTCCCCCATGCACTGCATGATGCTCAACATTTTCCTTCTTCACCAAGATTCACAGAAAACAGCAATGTGAGTATGTGTGTCCAGTGGAGGGGTCTGAGCACCACTCCTAAGAGCATTCCCGGCTCAAACAAATGGAGTAAGGAAATCACTGAGCAGATGAAATTGGTGGTATTGCAGCTACTGGATTTCCATTTGGTGGGGGAAAAGGAGGAGCTACCTCAGCACCCATTTCCCCTGAAGAGGGAGAGAATGAGGTAAGGTAGAGAGAGGAAATGCTCCCACCCTTTTCACTTGGAAATGATGAAAACCATGAAAAACACTCCGAATACTACTACTCCTGTGAATGGCAACTATTAAAATGCAGTTACGGTAGGTATTGTCAATGTTAAAATCTGTGGCAAGTTGAAATGTATGCAACAACGTAAAACAAAGGAGGGGGGAACTATTGCAAAATGTTGTCTG